CTGTCCATTTGCATCGCCTCGGAAAGACATGGAGATTCGGAGATATGGATAAGTTGTGGTCTGGGTGGCCACCACCTCCAAATGAAGAGGGATTCATGCCTGAACTTGATGACTTTCAAACGCACCTTCGCATGGCTGGAAGGCTTAATCACTGGCGACGAGAAGTGTGTTCCCTACTTAAACCACACGAGGAAGCGCCAGTGGCTTGGATGCGTAGAGCATGGAATCCCGACCTCCAATACAGAATTCCTACCTCAGAAGGCAATGCCGAGCGTTTGAAGTCATTCAAAAGGATCGATCACTGGGACCTTTTACCACCAAACTCCGCTATCAGCACTGAAGCCCAGTGTGCTCTGTGGACCGGATTGCTGCAGCTCTAGGGGAGAAATTCGGGAAAGTCTATTTTCTCCACCACAGTGCTCGCCCACACTTTTCGGAGGAGGCTCAAAAAAGCTTCAAAGCTTGGGATGGCATGTTCTGGCCCAACCACCGTATTCAGCAGACCTGGCTCCAACGGATTATCATCTCTCCCGTCGCTGTCGAACCATCCGAAACATAAGAAGTTTGATTATGTGAATCCACTCGAGACGTACATTGACGAAGTTTTCCTCCTCGAAACCTCAGGAATTCTACGCAAGCAGGAACCACAAGTTGTCTGATGAATGGCAATACCTTGTCGATAATGATAGTGCATATATTTGTTAATTGTTAGTTATTGTGAAGGAAAAAAATAAATTCTAAAAAAAATTGCAAAAGGCGCAAATACTTTTCCGACAACCTAATAGAATCACTTACTCAATCACTGTAGATCACTTACTCTCACAAATTGCGGAAGTACAGACATATGCAGATAGGTAGCGAGCTGCTTCTTACCTACGATTTCGAATTAGACAAAAGATCGGAACGAATCTGCTTGAATGGACCGTGCTGCGTAGGTAGAGATGGCCAACATTGGCCTCTGCCCCATATCCTCCTTAAAGAAAGGTCTGCGCAGATACTGTAAGTAAAAAAGCCCACAATAGCGAATTTCGCAAATATTTCCTCTGTGTAATATCATTTCTGATAATATCGGTGGAGCAATGGCCGATTGTGCACTATTTGTGAACAACTCCTTCTGTTCAACCGAATTCGATTGCAGGGCCTTGAATTCATAAATGTCGTTCTTGGTACAGTATAAATATAGTAGTTTCGATATA